AGAAGGAAAAATGACATGAGCCAGGTTCCTTGGAATGAATGAGCAAGCGAGCGAGCCCAGAACAGTTTGGGGCCTGCTCTTTTATTAACAAGAAGTAATAAGAACAGTTACATTGTTTGCTAATCAGGGCCAATAATCTCCTTCCACATACTGGCCCATACGGAGGACCAATCATCTCCTTCCACATACTGGCATAACCTGGTGCATCATGGTTTTTTTTTTATCACCCTATACTGAGCACGTGCTGAGTTGCTGGATTTCCTTGTTCCTGGTTCATGACCTACCTTCTGTGTCATGTGGCAGTTAGGCAGTCACTAATAAGGAAGCAGAATGGTTCCAGCAGTAGTTGAGGTAGTAGTTGTGGTAGTGGTTGTTGAGTTGGGATTTGAGTTTGAGCTGGTAGGTATTTGCTTATCTGTGCTGTATTTTTTTCCAAGAGAGATTAGGCTTGCTTGTATAGTTGTTTCAAAACTTGTTAGAAAGCGTTCTTCTATTGAGTGAATGAATGATTCTATGCTTTCAACTCTGTCAGGCAGGGTACTTAGTTTGTTTAGCTTAGGTAAACATGATGGACATAGACAAGGGAATGTATCTGATGTTTTTAGGAGATCAGCTAGGCTTTTGTTTAAGTTTAAGCAGGCAAGGTGGGCTTGATTGTCACATAGGTGGCATTTGGTCTTATTTTCATTTTCATTGATGGTTTCATGACATTGGAAGCATGTTCAGGAGTCTGGGAGGTCATTGGTAGAGATATTATTCTTTTGTTGTTGTTTGGTAGTGGAGGATTTGGAGTTTTTGGCTGGCATGGTCAATGACAATAGTACAGTACACAATTACAATAGCTAATTAATGTGATAGGTAGAACAGTTACTTAATGAATGTTGGTAATTAATAAATGTTAATTGATAAGTTAGAGAATGAATCAAAAGTAAGATTACTTATTACTAAAAATCAATCAATCAATCAACTAGATAATCAATGATACAGTATTAAATCTCTATCAATTCAATAAATCAGTAAATTGATGGTCATTTAACAATTAATTATTATACTATTAAATGATAAATCAATTATTTTAGACAAAGCATTATCTATCAATAATTGGTTTTGAGGTAATGAAATAGTGGAGGTAGTGAAGTATTGGAGGTTTGTAGTGAAAAGTTCCTTCGTTTTTCCTTAAAGCCACATTGTTTTGTTTTTGTTTTTAAAGAGGAAGCATTACTGCTTGATAGATTTGAATGGAGAAGATTTGAATGAACTTTCCAATCATCTACTTGGGGGTTTGGAATTGATGAAATTTGGGTGGGTATTAAGTGGAGGTTGTCCAATCAGCTGAGTGGGGGTTTAAATGCAGGCTGACTAATCAGGTGGGTGATTTAAATGAAGACTGTTTAGGAGATTATTCCTCTCAGATAGGGTCTATCAAGTCTCCGTGAGTCTCTTGGCCATTCAGAATCACACTCTCCTGCTCTCTTCCAGTCCCAGCTCTTTTTAGGATGTTTAGGTCAGTTCTGTCTCTTTCTCTGCAGTTCAGAATAACACTTTCCACCAATCACAGCTCATTCCATGCAGTTCATTTTATGCTACTCGGAATGGTTCACTCTCAGAATCATTCTCATTGTAAGAGTCAGAATCACACTCTCATCTAATCACAGCTCGTCCCAGCTCTTAGCACTATTCGCTCTCCACTAACCACTCTCTGCTCTCTGCACAGAATCAAACTATTCACTATCCGCCAGTCCCAGTTCTTTCAAGTCTCACCCATTCGGAATGGACTTTCTGCTCGGAATGTTGTCCTGGCCTCTCTGCTCACTCTCTCCACTCACTTTCGGGATTGCCAACAAGTTCTCTGTTCTCGGAACCTTCCGAAACCTTACGACAGTCCCGGTTGAGGTAGATCATGGCTCCATTGCCCCAGACCCCACTCCCTGTCTCCAGTGATGTGGTTAGGCATTCACCTCGATCGCCATCTTGGATTTCCCCTTTGTCTTGTTTTGCTCTTTTTAACTACTAACTTGGTGATCTGGGGCATATGAATGTCATCCTCTGATATATAGGCAGACTCTGCCATTAAACTGCATAAATGTGTTTTAGGTTGTGTGGTCTGCTTTGGAAAAACTTACTTTAAAAGGTGTTTCACTCATTTTGAACCAAATAAATATACTATATATTATTTCCACTGCCTAAGTTAGTCTTTCCTCAAGATAATGCTCTCTTAGATTATATATAAAAATGTTGTAAAAATAACATTGTATGGTTAACAGGATTTCTAATTTTGAGGGGGAAGAGTATAGCTTTTGGGCCTAATTTGATGCTTCTTGTCTAGAGAAGAATCTGTTTATACAACAATTCATATTCATCAAAATATCTATTTTTCTGCAAAAGACATGGGGCAAGTAAAATAACAGAACGCAAGGGTACATTATGTCATTCTTAAATAATTTAAGTTGAAATAATTGTCAACATATGACAGTTTAATGAAAATATAATTCAGCAAAACAAATGCATCATCACGCACAAAATCATCATGAACCATATGGCATGGCTGTGCAAACTGTTCAGAAACATGCCTTGTGGCTTTGGAAATAATCCAGTAAATGTGCTGTCTGTTCATAAGCATGGAAAGGGATGTGAAATATACATGATAAACTTTTCAGAGATGTGACATCTTGCTGAATCAAGCAGCAGGTTGGGATGAAATGTCCATCTCTCTAGTTTGCACTACCCTATCCTGTTGGTAAGAAATCAAAGAATCATATGATTGATTCACACACCATAATGTTTTAGCATTGTTGGACTCAAATAGATATGTTTCCTTTTATTTCTATAGTTGAAAATACAGTACTATATCTGTGTCAATCTCCTAGAATCACAATATTGAAATTATAGCAAAACTGGAAAGCACCAGTCATTCTTGACAAATGATAGATGATCATAATACCATCAGTGGCTCACATAAACTCCTAAAAATTGGCAGCTTTACTGATCCAGACTTAAGAACCTTGAACTTCTGGAGCTTAGGAGCAACAAAAGACATAAGTTGCCAAAGTTTAGTACCTGTTTAAGTTGTGTCTCAGAATTCACATGTACATCACAAATTTCACAGTGAAATGTTTTGTTCTGAAGTCCTGTATTTCCTTTATTGATGGGTCCTTTTCCTTTAATACCTGTCCTAGGAAAGGCTTTGATGGTTCCACTCCCATTACGAGCTTCTAACATAGTTTTGTGCTTTGTACCTAAACATGTTAAACATATAAAAGAATAATATTAGAAAAATGTTTGAATAAAACCTTTGTCTTTCTCTGAATTAACGTTCTCCAACATGTGAGGAATTTAATTTCTTTAGCACTATAGTTAGAACCAAGAATATTACAAAGTCTGAATACTTAAAGAATGTAAAGAATGGAAAAGCTGTTCTAGCTATACCTCCGGTTTTATACCAGATACTTTTTATGCACCCATCTGTATTCTTCATATTGATTTGATGAATGAAAATCATATTAATATTGTATATCCATATATCTAGCTATTAATGCTACCTAAGTAATTATAATTTCATATAAAAACCTGGGAAGTTATGATTATTATTTCCATACACTGATACAATTTCTAATGCACCCAAGGTCCATGGCACATATGACTAATGGGCCCCAAGTTATTTATTCCTCAACTTTTATGCTAAAGAAGCTGTCACCAGTATGTACTAATGTGCGTGAGAATCCTCATTGAAGCTAAATGTAGAGTTTATTTTGATCACCAGCTGCAGCTAATTAAACATGTCTTCCCATAAAAGATAAAATCATTTGGACATTGGTTTGAATCATTGCCACATATTCTAATTGGATTATTAACAATAATTTTGAAAACCTGCTGCTAGTGAAGGAATTGGCACCATCTCAAAAAACCTTTTTGACAGTGCACACTCCATAGAAAGGAATAGAAATTAAATGGCAAAACAGTCACCCTTTTTAAAAAGAATGTATGATTAACTTCTAGATGTCTTTACCAGGAAAAATATTGCTTCTAAAAACTAAAGTATTTATAATAAAGGTCTATTCTATTTCATGCCATTGTTTCTCCAATAGCAAAAATTTCCCAGGAGTCCATATATCTTTATATTTTTTAAAAGGGGGAGGGAAATGCAAAGTTAGTATTTGTCATAACAACTTAAAATATTAATTATTTCCAAACATTTTACAAAAGTTAGGCAGTAAGTACACAAAATCCTTTTTGATCTAAAAGCAATAGCCATATTTATAAATTGCAAGTATGGGAATTTTTCAGATTTGCCAGCTCTGGATCCCAAATGGATCTCTTTTTCAGCTTCTTTAATGAATCAGACTGAAAGTAAAACAATTTTCATAAATTACATGTAAGTGTGAACAATCCACTGAAATAACAACAATAATGTTCTGTGTATATATGAGATATTATTCATTTTTTAAATAACCCATGCAATAAATCATGATTTAAAAAGTGACACAAGACTTTTCCTTCCTCAAAGAAGGAAAAGTAATGCACTGTAATCTAATATTTATTCTAAAAACATCCCATATAAATAGATAATAGATAAGAAAAAACTGAAGAAGAATATAGGAGTTTGATACAGTGGCTTAATGATTGGACAGAGCTTATGCCAATATGGTCCAGATATATCAAAAAAACTAGTAGACCCAGTTACAGGTTCATCTTAGCTAGGAAGCTCCCTGGATTTGACCAATCAGTCTCAGCCCAATCTAACCTACCTTATAAGATGCGGGGAGGGGAAAATCAGAAGAATGAATGCAATATATGACTTCCAGGAGAAAAGGCAGGAAATAAATCTAACAAATAAATACAGTTATGGAATACATAATATAAGGAAATTCAATAATTTTGGGATCTATGCACAAACTAAAAATAACAAAATTATAAAATGGAAAAAAGTTGCTACAATAAATTCAGTCTAAATTTGAAGAATGAAAAATGATTGACCACATAAAATAATCTCAAATATATAATTATAGGAAATACTTGTACTTATTAGCTATATTTTACTATCTTAAATACTTGAATGAGTAAAATAAATGGTAGGGTTAAAGGCTAGGTTGGATTACTGACATTTTTATTATATTGGTTTATTGTTCTAATAGTCAGAGCTTGCATGTTTCATGGCTTTCACTGAACCAGCTGAATTAGATTGTAGATTAACAGTACTAAATAAAATAGTTCGAAGAACTCAAGTCCAAGAGAAGAAAATATGGTTTGGAAATGAGGAATTTTTTTCCTTTAAAGATTTTTAGTTATGATACATCTAGTTAGATTGTTCATATAATCTTCTTAAAAGGTACTTTCTAAGTGGTTATGAAATCAATTAATGTAAGACATTTCATTTGATGAAAGGTGTCAGTGCTGAAGAATGAAAAAGAACAATTTTGATTAAGATGTGTGTGCATTCAATCTATGTATGTTTATATTTGGTTAATTGTTTTTCCTAATACAGCAGTGCAAAAGTTAAGTGTCCCTTTCAAATTCTGCTTAATGTTATTCTTAATTCAGCCATGTTGGTTTCTTTCCTTTCATCTAAAACAGTATTCAGTTTATGCAATCAATTGAAAACTGGTATTTGAAGAAGGAATCCAATTGCTTCTATGGAGCAATTGCAAAAGCCCCTCCTTTCCCTTTTTTATACTGGATTTCTTTTCTTCTCATTTTTGTCATTTAATTGTTAATAAATTCATGGAAATTGTAGGTTTCTCTTCTGTAAACCACCTGAAAATCTCAATCTTACCACTGTTGTGTGCCTCCAATTGGGAGGCAGAGTTGACAGCAACCTTGCATAGTGAACAATAAAGCAACCGTTTGGCCTTTTCTTCTTCTGTCTCTCCTAAGGAGCTCACGCTACTGCTGGTGGCAGTGGAAGGAAATTTATCAATTTTTGAGGTGATTTCAGTCATTGTTACACTGTTCTTCCGAATTTTGATAGCTGGAGATGTTGATATTGCTGGTGCTTCGGTTGTACTATCTGTTTTACAGATTGAAACAAAAAAAAATATATACATTTCAATTCTGAAAACATTGGGTGTAATATGAAACTTGACAGGAGAAGTGGTTTAAACTAAAAAAAAAAAAATCCAAACAGTATCATAACAACAATATGGACTTTAATAGAGATCTTTAGTCTTTACTAGATTGTCTCAGTTAGAACAATTAATCAGTGGAATAATTGCCTCCAGAAATTGTGGATGCTCCAATACTGGAGGTTTTCAAAAAGAGTTTGGACAATCATTTGTCTGAAATGGTATATAGACCTTCTTGCCTGAGCTGGGGATTGGGCTAGAAGATCTCCAAGTTCACTTCTAACCCTGTAATTCTGTTACTTTCATTTTATCTGTATAAACATAAAATGATAACAACTACAATCCACTGTTCCTAGCCATGCAAAATGACTGCTTGTTAATCATTCAGTGCAGTGTTGCTGGGAATTAGGAAATGGAAAAAATATTGTTGGTAGGTTACGTTTAGCCACTTGTACTAAGATTGATCATAAAGTAGAAAATGGATGCCAAGTAAGTAATACTTGCCATTAATCTACTTCAATAAAAGAGCCTTTTATAAAATGTTGCTGAACATAATAAATTCATTCAAAAGGCTTTTTGCTGGTCATTCTTTCTTAGGAAATAAGGCAACGTATAAATAATTTATGTCAGAAAATGAAAATTTTTGTAAATGCATGTATTCTACACAAACCTGCAATATTTTACAGCATAACAAAACATTTTTGCATAACAAAAATCAAGTGTCATGCTGCAGATTTCAATTTATTGTCCTGAAAAGCTTGGCAAAGACATTAGATGTTCGAATATTGTTTTCCTAGCCTGTCTGGAAGATTATAAAGTCTCTGGGTAGGATCTCTATTTAGGTAAGAAAATAATATTCATGAAAGCAAATCCTATCCTCTTAACTGCACAAATATTACAGATTGCCAAGAAATCCTGCATTTCCCCTCTTTTAATGGTACAATGGATTTGCCTCCTAGATATCATAGCACAGGGAAAGAAAGCACATTAAGAATAAGCGCTTAATCAATTCTCTCACACCAGTTGGCTGATGTATAATTTATTTCACTTGAAATAAGTCAAAACTTCCAACCCTTCCTTCTGCAGAAATAAAGATTACTGTCAAGAAAAATAAATAATAAATTCAAATAGGGTCAGCAGAGAAATCTTAACATGTAATTAAAAAGGCTACTCAGGTTAAAAGCTAATAAACTTTTGTAACATCAGCAGTCTCAGGGGAATAAATCCTTAATATGAAAAAAATATCATTAAAAGAAAATGTTCTTTACCTTTGCTTCTTTGATGGGCAGCCAGATAAAGGACTTAATGCAAGTTTCACATGAAAGAAGGCAAAAATACACATATTTTTCTTTTGCAGATTTACTTAGATGGAGAAAATGGCACAAAGAAAAACGATAAATAATCTCAGCAAAGCCAATTCTTCAGTCTACTATAATTCTTTTCTTCCTGGACCTTTAAACTAACAAATAGAACTTGGCAGAATTACAGTTCATGAAACTAGAAAGGCTTTCTTAACATGAACCAGCTCATCTACTCCAATGGACAGCTTTAGTCTCAAAAATAACTCCTGGAATTACAGTTCTGTCCTTTTTTTTTTTACTTTTTAACTCTAATTTTACTGTCAATCTTTCCTAGACAAGTTCCTAAGTAACTTTTAAAATAATTTCAGAGACACTGAAACAGCTGATCTATTATTATTTTCATTATTATTTCTTCCTAGGGGCACTTAGTTCTGCTTTTGCAACCAGAGTACTTGAACATCTCACAATCTGTGTCTTAGAAGAAAGAGAAAATAAACATTTAGAAGAAAATAGAACAAAAAAAAAAAAAACCCCTGAAAAGGAAAATAATTTCAGCCACTCCTGAATCATTCTGATATTTCACTTTCAGAAATGGGCAAGAATGTCCGATGTCTAAAATAGAGCTTTTGAAGCAAAACATGAGAAATCCATCCCTCACTGAGATAATGAGTTCACCACCAATACTCTGGTGAAGGAACAAAAGAGACAATGTCTACTTGCTATTTTATAAAGTCTAGAATATATCTCTTCCTTTCTTCATTCCCTAATTCACCTTCTGATATGTTTAGTCCTACAATTTCAACATGATTTAAGTGTAAGTTATCTCTCCATTTAGGGAGACAATTAGCTGTAACAATTTTAGAGGTGAAACAAAAATTGCTTCTATAGACAGGAGATATAATCATGAAATATAATTAGAACAGTCAATCATATTCTGAAGAGAAAAGATAGAAAGTATAGGTAAAAGAGAGAGAAGAGACAACTTATTCCTTTCTTTAATTTGCCCATTGCCTTTCTTTATTCTTTCATCATTTGGTTAATTGTTGGTTAGTGTTCTTTAACATTTCAAATAACCATTTTTATCAAGAAATGGTTTGGATGTTGTTTTGCCAAGTGAACAGGTGCCCAGTGATCAGGTGCCCAAACAATTGGTTCTTTTGCATCCAGAGACAATGAGGACTAATATCTAAATATCTTATAAGCTATCAGGAGCTTCTTAATAACAACAGCAGAAATACCCCATGGGAGACTAGTTTCCATAATACTAATGTGTGCAGAAGCTCCTCACAAGTATCAGTTCCAAAGTTTTTGCAAGACTTGACCTGACTGGCTTGTATAAGACTGGGAACGGGGATTAAAATATTACTTTTGTTTTAAGCAAAACTTGAATTTAAAAGAGAGGGCCAAGAAGAAAGCAGGACAATTGCAGAACAGGCTCACAAAATATATGCCAATGTCCCTTCCATATATATATTACACTTGCAATATAGTGAAGTTTGTACACATATCTTCACTAAACATTTCTGGGATATCAACATATCAATAAATTGATATAAACATATCAATAAAAAAGAATACAATAAATTTTGTAAATAAAAATGGAGACAGTTGGCAAATATTACTAGTTGCAAATAGAAATACACATTCTTTCCATAGCAAGGAAAATAAAGTAGCAATGGTTAAATTGATTATTTTATTCAAAAATGAAAATATGTTCTTATTTAGATATCACTTCTGGAATTGGTGCTTGTGAAGAAAAAGTAAAAAAACCTTTGACCTTGGTTTTGTTGATTAGAAAGATTTGGTGTTATAGGAATGGCTAGTTATATATTAATGTGTAAAAGCAAAAAGTTCAGGTTGGAGTGCATTTATTTTGTACTGTGCTAAGAAGAGTTGGAAATCAATGGCCCCTTTTCTTTCTTTTTCTCTTTCCCCTTGTATCTCACAACCCTTTTTCCCATTCCCTTTCCTTCCCTTAATTTTCTATTTTTCTTCTCTTTTTTGTATTTTATATAATAAAATAAAAATGAAAAATGAAAAAAAAAAGAATTATCCCAAGCTCGATCCCATCATAATAACAATTCAGTAGTTTCTAATGCAGCTAAAGAGTCCAATCAAATTGTATATATGGGAAAAAATACTTCATAAATGATGCATAATTATAATGCATTGTCTGATAAATAATTCTTAACTAATTATTTGGGTTTAAACCAATTCATCAGTAAAAATGAATTGATTTTACATTACCAATTCCAAAATGCAGCTGGCCATTTTGGAAAAGTTATTTATTTATAGAGTAATTTACATGACAGTCCATCTCAGATACGTTACTAGGTAGCTCACAATAATAAAATATAGCAGAATTATAAATAACATAAATAGCAGTTGAGAAAAATAACTAATGGTAATAATTAGTAATCACACACAACGATTCATACAACCAAAAAAAAGGGGCCCACACCATCAGGGATGGGGGTCAAAGACAAAACAGGAATTTAACTGACCTTCGTGAAAGACTAGACAGGTAGATGCAAGTCTGTCTTGGGGTGGAATGATGTTCCACAGGGTTTCACAACAAAAAATCTCTTTTGGGGTCTTACTAGATTATGATATCAGATAGAATACAGAGCATGCTTCTCTTGCTGGCTCTAACAGAAAGCTGGATATAGCAAGTAATCTATTCCCAAGCAATGAATGGCTTTAAAGGTATCTACAAGCAGCTTGAATTACACATGGAAGCAAACTGGAAACCAATACAGCTTGTTGAGTAGCGGTATCACACATGCTGAATTACAGCCACCATAACTGCCTGTATGACTAACTTTTGCATCATCTGAAGCTTCTAAATATTCTTCAAGGGAAACCCTATGTAGAGCATTTTGCAGTAATGGGAGATTATTAAGGCATGAGGATGGTGAGCAGAGTCCTATTGCTCAAGAATAGCTGCAGCTGGCTCATAGCATGAAGCTGTGTAATAATATAAATGTATTATAAGGTCATTATGACAATTATTAAATTGATTAATCTATCAGTTCAATTCTTAATATATACTTTACACATATAAAAATTATTTATCCTTTTAAAAATCATTCTGAAAAATGCTCATTATCTTGGAGGAGTCTAAGAAGAAATAAACAGATGTAGAATAATGTTTTGGCTGAGAATAATATGACAAAATTTTTCATTTTTGCCAGATTAGTCACTTCATTCTGCTTATATAAATCTCTTCATATTAACAAAAATAAACACATGATTGTCTGTTTGCTATTCTAGAATGCCAATCTCATTCCAAAGCAGACATAAAGGTAGCAACCTTTCATGTTACTTTTTGGATTCAAGAAACATAAAATGACCACTTTGCCTTTTATAAAATGTGAAAATTTGAGGTTTTTAAAGAAAAAGCTACAATTGAAACTATGACACCTCATCTACACTTGATTAATATTTTGCTTCCTGATAACTTTATCTTGGGGAAATATTAAATGAGTCATCAAAACTCACAATGAAAGCAGAAAATATGTGAAATATAGGAAGACATAACATTATAGGCCCCTGGTGAAGTTATTATTTACTAATTATTATTAGTTATTATTAACATTTTACTATTGCTAGATTTCACATATATCTATATATAAATGTATAAA